AGGGAGGCCGCTCGCGTAGGGGCTGTTCCTGCTCCGCGCGGTGATCCGCCATCGGGTTAGCTGGAGGAAAAAGGGGGGAAGAAGCTTGAGTAAGAGCGTGGATAGCGGTGGTTGTGGAGTGAGTCGTGGGGTGTGCTGTGGGGTGAGTTGGGGGTGCGTTGTGGGGGAAAAGGGAAGCGTGAGGAGACCCGCCACCGCACCGGACGAACCGCCACGGTTTAATACCAAAAACTCCATAGGCTCCCCTATGGAGCCGACCGCAGCACGACCGCGCTCCCGCGGTCGGCGCGGGCTTTTCCGTACGGTGGGCGCCCCCTGCAAGCCGGTCATTGCAGATATTGGCCGCGACGGGGACGTGTCGCGAAGTAAGGAAGGGGGTCTGTAGTACAATTCCGTACCACAACCCCCCGGGGAGATGATAACCGCGCGGGAGGGCGGGTGCTATTGTAGCGAGCGGGCGTACACGCGCCCGCCGCCGTGTACAGTAGTACCCCAAGGGTCCGACGTGGGACAGCCGGTAGCAGCGGGCGTGGACACGGGTAACACGTGGTACAACAGTCGGCCGGGATCGTGGCCACGGGCACACGTGTATAATCCGTACGGTGGCTAACTTGTAAGTAGTAGTTAATGGCACAAATTAAGTAATTGTGTACAGTAGCTGGTACACAGTAAGTGGCAGCTACTGTAGAGAGACAGGTGTCCTGGCGTCCCACTTAGGGATTAAGACCGGGGACACCTGCCTGTCTCAGTAAAGAGGAGGCAGACTCGCCTCCCTTCCCTTTACGGCTAAGTGCTAACACCGTTCCGGTTTTCCTTTTAGTCTCAGGCTTCTAACCCGTGACCGGCCGTCCGGATCTACCACCACCGACCGGCTGCGCGTCACCGGCCACGTGAGCCTTCCCTCTTTTCGAGTCCTTCTGTACGGTTTGTGTTCGCGCGTGGGTTACCCAGCGGCGTGAGCTCCCTTACCTCTAACCCCCTCGTTTCCGAGTGGTCGGGACGAAGGTAGTTATACCACAATAACTCTGATCTCCTTCTGTCCGATACGCCCAAGTATCAAAGTCTCATTCCGCAGGGATGGGACGATTACACGGCGTCCTGGCCAACCGACGCACAAGCGACGCCATGTACTTCCGACGACGCTCACGCCCCATACGGCGTTACCGGGGCCATACGTGCTCGTCTGCCACGACGAGGTGGAAGCAAAAATCGCGCGACCACACAGCTCTCAAGCTGAGGCCCCCGGGCAACGCCCCGGTCACATCCGCATATGTCCGAATCAGTTGGCTGTCGCGTAGCCCCTCCGGCGAGAGAAATGGGGCTCGCTCAAAAAACAGTGAATCGACGATCATGCTCTTACCGCGCAACAAGCGAGGGGCCCGCCAACCGTTCCTGGCCTCGTCCTCCGCGACGTCCACTTCCCCATAGGGGTTTCGAAACCGTTCTATCAACAAGATAGCGTCGAAGCGCACGCACTCACACGATCTCAAATCGTTCTTCGCCCCGACCGCTGCGAAGGCGTGGAGAAGGAGAGGGGGAGGCAGCCGAAGGACAGAGATACGAGCACAGCGAGGAATGGAAAGTGGGAACAACGGTGCTGACCAGCCCCGATACTCAGGCTTGCAGAAAGGCACACAACGTGGCTGTCAACGGTCGCAGATCCAACCACCCTGCTACTGCGCCCTTCCCCGCACGCTGTCTCAACCTCAGCGCTCCAGATAATTTGGCGATAATTTCTACCGTACCGACACGGGGGGACGCGTGATTTTCTGAGAAGGGGTATCTGTAGTGCGCTGTACACTATAGCGGGACAGCTGTCCCTACCCCGCCAAAATCGCGCTGGACCGCCACCACGTATACCACGAGTACACGTGGGCCTCCTTTTCCACCTCCCAGGTCCCACCGGTGGACACGTGTACTACCTCCGCCCCACTCCGGGCCTATAGGGGCCCCACGTGGCCCCCTCGGGGCTACACCCGTTATATTCTAGTTATTCTAATTTACAGTATAGTTTATCTTCACCATTCACCGCGACGGGGACTCTATAGTCAGCCCGGGAATCAAAGTAAAAAAGGGCCGAAGCCTCGGGTCTTTTACTTCGGTTTCTGGATTCTAGGGAGTATCCTCGACTCGGTACTGGCCAGCCTATACCGACCGGGCCATCTACCCTCCTAGAATCCCACCTGCCTTCCCCCGCGCGCGCCGATCCACCCCGCGCGAGATCTACGTTCCCTACTGGGCTGTCCGTTCCATTAGCTCTTTCTCCAATTTTATTCTACCGCTTTATTCCTGTCCCTATCGCTACATTTCTACCGCGAAAGCGCGACCGGACCCCGATTCCGGTCATCCACCGGGTCTCCCTAAATCCGCTTACGTGCCCGAACACGCGTGGCTCTGCCTACAGCCCCGGTACACGTGGCCGTAGTGCACGAAACAAGTCTACTCAACGCCGTAAGGATGTTTTGTTCATGATACTCACAGTCATGAAGCATGGAGGACAATAGGACTTTTTAAGACAAATGTTCAGAATTATGGGACCCACATTCGAGAAACTTGTGACAGGGTACCTCAAGGTGGTATGGGAGGAACGTTTTACCGTTGTGGTGGAGAAAGCAGAGGAGAAAATCTCGATGAAAAGACTGATGGAATAAAACAGTGTTTAGTCCAACTTCAAGTATGCGCGTTACGCGACGGACGTGAAATTTCACCTCACACACTGTCCCACTGAAAACCTTCAAGAGGCGAAAGGATAATACACTGTGACGCACAAATTATATGGGTACAAAACCGAAGTTTCCGCTCTGCCGAATGGGCTAGCTATTGGATGCTCTGAACACTATCCTAGTGCCGTGGATGACATTGAATGTTTTACAGGAACATCTACTTGCACTCTGCTGCTCTGCGCAAGTCTCAGGAAGAAAGGCATGGAACGGTCACGGGGATTTTGGTTCACAAATTTCGTCGGCATTGGGCGGTGTTAACAGATAAAAGATACCACGGAGCCGAAGAGTACGCCCTTGTAGTCCATCCTAGAAAAAAGCCAGCACATAGTATTATGCCGGTAGAAGATGTTGCCTTTAATGCTGATGTAGAATCTGACCGAATTATTGTAGAGAACTATTTTGGACGTATGTGCAGCTTGTGGGCAATTCGTTCCCACAAGTATCGCTTGAATGAAGAGAGCTGCGACATGATTTTCCGCTTTTGTCTGGCGCTCACTAACTATCACATTAGGTTGAAATCCCTACGCGGCGATGACAACGAGTTTTACAAGACAGTAAGAAATAAGCTTTACACAGTTAGATAAAAAGGAATTTGAAGGCGGCAAAGAGCACACGAACGCTACAGGCAGAGGCACCGACAGTGGATGGGTGTGCGTTTCACGAACATGAACGGTTCCGATGAGGAAACTGAGGCGCTACTTGGCGCGTAGTATGTGGGTTTCAATAAAGGTGGAGAATTAACGTTGTCAGTGAGCGTTTTGGCTTCCAAGATATTTGTTAGAATACGGTCCTTAAAAAGAGATTGATTGCAGAGTGGTGCAAGGTAGATACCTTTTCCCATTACTGCCGGATTTTGGTTAGATTCGCGATCTTTGATTGATTAACGGATAGCTGGACGGAAGATCTAAAGTGTCCTACGTCTCTTTGAAAAGCGCTAAAGATCGATGAACGATCTATACTATCTTGCCAAATGACATGCTGTCTCTGTGTAGAGAAAGTATTATCCGTCTTTCAAGGTCAGTGAAAGTTCTCGGGGCATTTCGAGTGCCGCTTCAAGTGAAATGCCCCCTGGAATAGTAAGACATATATCGAATACCGTCTACTGCTGTTCTTTATGTTATGCCAAATGTTCAAGTATTTATGCTTTGGTGCGCTCAATTTACCCTACCACGGTACTGTATGAAAAACCGTGTGTTTATGGCAATTTCGCGCAGATGTTCAAAAATAACTCATTTACTTAAGCTCGGAGCATTTTCTAATCTCTATACACGAGTTCGTCGTGTGTTGCTGGTCTTGTAGGCAAGAGCTTTCCCTGAAAGGTGAATAGGAAGTGCTATTTTGATTGCCGTCGATGGTGTATTTATTGCAGTTTCGCGTACTGTAATGAACACGTGTTGACGAGCGTCCGTAATGAACCCGTGTCGGCCAGCCTCTGTACAAATCCTGGCTGTGATACCCGTATCACAGACAGGCAACGTCATGGTTGTCCAACGAGCGAAGGCCACGTGGTGGTATCTTTCAGAAATACAGTGGGTGTAAGCATTAGTGCCGCTTTTGTTTGTGCCACCGTCCCAATAGTGCAGGCCCGAACGCACGAACACGAAAAAAGGCCACGTGTCCTACGGTTCCGGCTGTTATGCTACCAATGACGCCATGGATGTCTTGGAGACGGTTGAGGTGGTTCAGAATCCACCTGAAATGCAGTCAAGTGATGAAGATGAGAGCCCGGAAAATGCAATTGAGAGAAAGACTATACCCCATGTCGTCGAGATCGCGAAATTGTTTGGAGAGCTGGAACTTTCGGCGACTGAATGCCAAGTTCCAGACGCTCTATCGCATCTAAGGTCGGCAAAGCGCACATTTCTCACTGCGAAACACAACAGAGATCCAATACGGAGCAGGCTGACGTTACTTTCCGAGTGCATGCAGAATAGATGTGACGACGTCATTTACTAATGCCGTCTCCTAATAGTGCATATTTTTGGGGTTTCGCACGGAGCGGCACTAATGTGCGGGACCACTGTATGACGGATAGACTGTCTCGGGAAGTTTGGGTTTTTTTAGAAATAGCTGACAGTTTGGCTTGGAGAAGGCAGACTATAATGGACCGGACCGTTACGGTGGTTGGAAAGTTGCATTGCTGGCCAGTCGCTTTGCGTCTCAAACTTGCGAAACGCGATTTCATCATCACTTTGAACGTCCCGCACCCATCAAAACTGGACTCCAGGGTCTTTCCTGCCGCATTCCGCCGCCCCGTCCTCTTCGTATCCTGTTTCTATGCCTTTGGACACTCGTCGTCAGACGGAAAAGCCCCTTTACATACACCATCAGGAAAGAGAAACCCGTCCCCCCCCCCTTCCCCCCCCCTCCTAAAGATCACATTGCCGTCGCTGGCTGTGTGCTGAGCGCTCTGGGAAACACACCATCCTCTAGCCCTGGGGTTAACACCAACATCGTCGATCGCGCGTACCCGGTGTTTTCAACTCGAGCAAATTTCCAACAGATTGCCTTCTTTGCCATTTTCTCGTCTCTGTCTGTTGAAGAGGCATGGTACGCGTAGGGCCATACGAACTGGGCGCGACTTTGGGCAGGGGAAATTATGGACTTGTCAAGCTGGCCGTTAACCGAGACACAGGCGAGCAGTTTGCCGTCAAGATCGTGAAAAAGGAAGCCTTAGATGATGACAGAGCCGCCGACGTCGACATCAAGAGAGAAATTGCCATCATGAAGGCTCTTGACCATACCAATATTGTCGCCCTCAATGATGTTCTGTACTCGCCAAAGCGAGTCTTCATGGTTATGGAGCTCGTGCGTGGTGGCGAGCTCTTCGAAAGCATCGTCAAGCACGGCCGTCAGGACGAGAAGACGGCCCGTCGCTATTTTCATCAACTCATCGATGCCGTGCATTACTGCCATCATCGCGGCGTGTATCACCGCGATTTGAAACCGGAAAACCTGTTGCTAGGGGAAAACGGGGAGCTCAAGATTACTGACTTTGGTTTTAGCGCCATGAGAGATTATGGCGCTCACTTGCTGCATACTAACTGTGGAAGCCCGCATTATTGCGCGCCGGAGGTGTGGAACGGGACGCAGGACGGCTACGACGGGCGGAAGAATGATGCGTGGAGCTGTGGAATAATTTTGTACGTGATGCTGACTGGAAAGCAGCCGTTTTATGATGACGACGATGAGGTGCTTCTGGAAAAGGTGAGCGAAGGTGTTGTGGAGTACCCAGATTACTTGTCGGAAGGGGCGCGGGAGTTGATCGAGCGCTTGCTGGAGATGGACCCCAGGAAGAGGTTTTCGTTGTCCAAGGTGAAGAGACATCCGTGGTTTGCCGTCGGGTACGACGCGGAAAAGGACGCGCTGCTGCGACAGCAGGAGGGACGAAAGGAGAGGGCACGACTGCGTCAGAAGTAGTTGGAATAATACGATTTTGCTTGTGGGGATGTGTGTCGATAGAGATAGAAATAGAGGCAGATAAGGATTTTGTTTGTTCATTTCGGGGTCAGTATGTGTGTTTTTGGTTCCTTATTGTTAATGAGTTTGTTGTCGAGTAATCTTGTATCATCACATCGAGCACGAAGAGGAGCCTCTGGTGGGTGGGGAACGGGAAGTAGAAGGAAGAGTGAACAGTGTCTGAATCCATTGCGGAAAAGGCTCTCGCCGAAAGTCGACGAAAAATTCCAATTTGAGCCAGCGGGCCGCAAGCGGCAAGTGCCGTCGTGAGATTGGTCTCGCTCACGATCATAAGCGCCAGCGCCCGCCTTACTAAAACCACTTCCCCCCCCCCGAAGGTTACGTGGCGCATCCGTCGCCGTCTCCCGCCAGCCGCGATGAAGCGCGCTGCCTACCACCCGCCCTCCAACAACGGCGCGGGCAGCGCTCCGCCCGCCGTCCCCAACCCTTCCCCGCCGCCGTCGTCCGCACCCACGCGCGGCGCGCGCCCTCGCGCGCGTCCAGCAGGCCCAAAGCTGCCGGCCCCGTTCAGCCTCCCCTCCATCAAGCGCGAGCAGGGGGCGCACGCTGCAGGGGGCGGCATCGCAGGCGCGGGCGCCAAATGGGCCTCACGTGCACCAGCAGCCCAAGCCGCGACGCACGCAGAGAAGCACCCGCCAGACCGGTCCACGGCTTCCGCATCAGCCTCCCGCCCTCCACCTTCACAAAACGCTTGGGCTGCTAGGAAGCCCGTGCAGAGACCCCGCCCGCAGAAGCCTTCCAACGATGTTCGCGTGTTGACGGCCGCACAGTCTCCTGCGCCACTTGTGGTGTCGCCCCAGACGCTGCCTGCCGCGGCGCCGGCCCGAACTCCGGCAGTAGTGCAGTCGCAGGGGGTTGCGCCGGCTTCGTCGCCTGTCGCGCAGCTGCGCGATGAAGATGACTGGGCGGAGGACGATCAAAAAATGGACTTCTCTAATCCCGTTTCGCTGCCGGAGGTCACCCTGCCGGATCAACCCGCGCCCCCGCCACCTCCTCAGCACCACCATCCCGCCCATCGTCCCGCTCCAATCCATCCGAATTTTCACCACCATTCGTCTCATCCGGCACCAGCTGCGCATTGGGCGCCAGCCATCCGTCTGCAGCAGCAAGAAGATTATCGTCCACATCAGCGGCAGCCCCCGCTAATGCCTATGCCTCCGGTTGCGCAGCCTCAGGTCGATCTTACTATCATCAAGGACCAGAAGACCATCATGAAGTCCAAGGCTGAGCTGGCACACGATCGTAGGAAGGCCGAGGAAGAGCGTGATCGGCAAATTAAGGAGCGGGCGGCTAGGAAGCTAAAGGAGCTCGAAGCGAGGCTCGGCGTCAAGAAGGACGTGGCCCCCGCTACTGCTCCTATGCCTGCTCCAGCCTCATCACCTGCTTCAGCTCGATCACCCCCTCAAGCACATTCTCCTTCTTCTGGTCCTGCACTTGTTGCTGTCCACGCCTCTACCGCTGCCTCGCTGGAGCCAAAAGTCGTGTCCAGACCGAACTCAGTTGACCGTTCCTCGCCGGCGGGTCCCAATGTCCACGTTACGCGGCGATATGAACCTGCTGTTATTCCAGTGGCATCAACAACGTCGCGAGCAGCCGAAAGTACACCCTCCACTCCGCGCATCGTATTGCAACGTCCGCGGACGGCGGGAATCGAGGCTACAGTGGACAAAAACCGTCGCCAGCCTGTCCCTGCCCAGCAGCGCGAAGCGCAACAGGGACTGCCAGCGCGCCGCTCCGGAGTCACAAGGAATGCTGGTTCAGAGCATACCCCAACACCTCATAGGCCCCAGGACGGTACGAAACAGAGGAGGCATCCATACCGCGCCCGGGAATATGACGGACCAGCTGCGAATGAATCGAGGGAACAATGGCTGGAGCGCCGGAGACGAGAAACAGAGATTCGGAACGTAGTCAAATCCATTCTTCAAATGTGTGTCCATCGCGCAGTTTACGGAATCAAACCCGGTCCGAAACGACCATACGGGAGACGAGGAAGCTCTCAGTCGGCCCAGCATCCGCGGAGAAAGGACTACAATCGACCGCGTTGGACCGGGTCGCCCGGGTCGAAAACACCTGAATCCGCCCCGGGAAAACCAAGTGCCCCAGCCCCAGCGGCATCCCCCGAAGTGCGTCGGAATTCTGCGTCCAAGCCGCAGTCTCGTCCGCAGCAGGCAGCACTTGCGAAGCCTCTTCCTGCACAGGCAAAGGAGATACCTCCACAACCGAGAGTAGCCCCTGCGCCATTGCGACCTGCGCCGTGGGCGCCAAAGGCGCCCGGGTCGTCTCCTGAGACGAAAAATGTACATGGATCTAGAACAGAGGGTTTGCCGGTGGATGCGTCCAAAATTGAAGACTGGAGTATGCGGCAAAGTCAGGTCTCCAGTCCTTCACTTGATCCAACACCCATGCAGTCTTCTGTACCCTCAAGACAGCAGCCGAGATCTCGCTCCGGGGCTGGACATGTGCCGCCGTCGGCCGTACGCAACATCATTCCCGTAAAAGCCAGTCAATCGTCGAAAGCAAGCGGCGCCGATCGACAGTTGGAGGTGGATTCTGTCACAATACCGGCTCCGAGTGGGGGCATTAGAGTTGTACAGCGTCCAGATCGTGGGCGTGGTGCAAATCGACAAGGTCCCGGCGGTTCTGCAGTATTATCAAATGGAAAGAACCTTTTGTCCGGAGCAGCTGTGACGCCCGCCAACGGGCCGTTTGACAAGCCGAGATACGCCCCTCGAAGGCGAGGGGGGAAGCTTGATGTTCCGAGAAGAGACAGAAGAGCTCCTTATCGAAAAAGCGACGATGCTCGTGCGTCAGGGGAAGATCAGCGAGGCGGGTATGGTGTACCATTGACGTCGCACTCTATTCCATTAGATGCGAAGCAGGAATCTGAGGCATGGGCGGCAAACAACGGGCCCAAGCAGCCTGCGAGCTTTGACGCTATTACTCGCGCATTTTCGAATCAGCCCGCACCCTTTCCTCTTGTTGGTGCTCCCTTGCTGCCACTAGTACCTGTTGTGTCAATCATCTCAACTCCTGATGAGGGTAGCGCCTCTACAGCCAATGACTCGAATCGTGGAGCCTGGAATGCGAGCGGAACCTGGACCGGTACACAGAAGGAGGTCAAAACAGACTGGTGGCAGTCAAAGAGCAATAACAGTAATTCTTTTGAAAAGGACACAGTCAAGAAACCTTCATCCAGAAACCACGCGAACAAGAGTTTGAAAAGCAATGGAGCGCCTGGACAAAAGAAGGACAGGAGAATGTTGCAACCAGAGACGGGAGCCACTGAGCAGAAAACCACGACTCCTCGAGGCCCAATTGGGACGAGGTCAGAGGGCGGGACCAAACAGCGTCGGAAACAGACTCGAGCACGGAAGGCGAAGAAATTATCGCCGGAGATTGTCGAACAAACAAGCAAGGAACCGAAAGCCACTAGCAATATTGCGAAGCCGGAGCACAGAAACAGCAAAATTAATGGGACCGAAATTGTGGCTCCAGTCGAACCTGCCCAGCCCGCAATGGATACTGCGGGTGAGTCCGCTGTGTCGAGGAAGAAATCTGTCGTTGTTTCAGGAGAAGCGTATGGGTTGCGTACACCTGCTGCTCAAGGAATGAACGCTTCGAAAGCATTACCATCAGAGGTATCGCAATCGAAAAGTGGTCCCGCACCGCGAGCGAAGAACAAACGGTCAATAACACGTGCAAAGAAGAAGCCACCAGCGCCAGCACCGGCGGAAGGTGATGATCTGATGCATTTTAATGTTTCTGAGGGAAACGTCGTCGAAGTGGGACCGACGCGAACCTCGGCCAAACAAAAGGAAGTCTTTCGTCCTCGAAGGACCGGGAATGGGACACATGGCAAATCAATGCGGAAGACAAACGATAAACCACGGGTATCCACTGCAGCATCAGAAACTGAGGTCAAGCCCGAGGTCAAGGCGAACGATAACGCAGCAGCAGTGAGCCGTGAGGCGTCTGATCTTCCCACAAAGGGCCAGCAGGAAAAGCCTGCGAAGGAACAAAATGAATTATCTTCGCAATCACCTTTTCAGGATGGCGTCAACTCGAAGAAAGAAGGTGTCCATGCTCGCGCCGACGCAAAGATTGGTCCGCAGTCACGCGGTAACAGGAACAATAACGGTAAGCACAGAAACCCCAAGCGGTTATCGGAACGAGACACGAAAACTGAGAACAAGTCGAATGATGCCTCCGCATCAAGTGACATCAAGGAATCGAAGGCTCTGGACGTGTCGGCTGCCGGAGGCGAGAAGAGCGAAAAGAGCACCAGCGCTACTCCGCTAGTGAGCAGGGAGGGAGAAGCAGGTTCTTTTACTCCCCAAACAACGCAACCGTCTGGAAAGCCAGCATCTCGCGGAGCCCCTGGTGGTGTCCGAGGGCGCGGAGGACGGCGCGGACGCGGATGGAGAGGCGGTCGAGGCGGGCGGGGCGGGCGTGGTGGCCGAGGCAGTCGCGGCAGGGGTCGCGGCAGTGTGAATAGCAATGCCAATAGTGCCTCAGGCAACAGCAATAGCACGAGCATTACGCAACCCGTTGTCGCCAAGGCTGTCACCAGCGACGCCAAACCGTAGCCTGCGCCTTGTCTGTATCACCCTCTTCCACATGTGTTGTGTAGGATCACTTCGTTCCATCCACATTAATCAGCACCAGGACAAGAGGGAACAGCAACAAGGAATAGGAGGGGTCCCGCTCCTCACTCCGCTAACAAGCAACAGGCGGATACCCAATCTGTGAATGCATGAATGAGCCCTCTTTGCTCGGAGCTACAAAGATTTCTCCCCCGCAAGTGCCTCTGACCACTATTTCACGAAACGCCATGTTTGTCGAATAGAAAGCCCTCCCAAGGCAGCCTTGCTACGCACCAGGTAGTAATATCTGCAGATAGGTCACGCATATGTGCGCATGCCTGGCTTTTGATGTGTTCGTCTGTGGAATAATCTAGTGGCGCAAAAGCACTGTAGCGACATAGTTGCGCCCTTCACGTACGCACTGAACTGCTAGTTCAATAAATGAAAAGGATTTTTCGCAGTGAGGCATTGGCAACACGTTGTCCGAATGTGCGTGTTCTCCGATACGTATGCCGGATGGCGCCCACCCACTGTCCTTAAGGCTTGGCGCTGGAACGGCTAAAAATGGCAGCGACTGCGTCGAAGGGTGCAACGCAAGAGGCAAAAAAGTGAACATCGAGGGGGCGCCAGACGCAGTTTTTACTCGACGCTAGAACACAAAAAAACGCATACCTACACTGTTTTTCGGCCCTGTGGCGCTAGGATCTACCGACAGAGCACAGCGGGCAGTTGCTAAAAGCAAAGATACCAGGGCTCTGAATCCTTACTTAACCATCACCAGATGAGTCAGTTGTAAAAACTTTTTGCAGTATCGAGTTGTTGAATCAAGAGACCACGACATCTTAGAAGTTGGCATCGATGACCTTCTTGAGCTCGTCATACATGACGAGCACGAGAGCGCCACCGGCGCCGCGAAGAACGTTGGAAAGCGCGCCCTTAAAGAAGGCACCCATGCCCTCGTTAGCGGCGATCTTCTTCCAGGCATCAACCGTTCCATTGTAGATCTTTTCCTTGCCACCGGACTGCATCATGAGACGACGACGGACGGTGTCAAACGGATATGAGATGATTCCAGATGCGGCGGTGACAGTCTGGGCGACGGCCCACTTGGCGAGCACGTTGGCCTTCTTCTCATCCTCGAACAAAACTCCCTTAGCGGTATCATACAGACCAAAGTAGGCTCCACGATAGACAATGATACCCTGGACCGACACACCGAAGCCCTGGTACAAAGCCATCGGGCCGCCACGGGTAGCAACCTTACGGAGGCAATCGACGAGGCCAGTGAACTCACGCTGGGTGCCCTTGCCGACATCGGCCGCAAGACGGGTCCTCGCGAAATCGAGCGGGTAGACAATGAGGAGGGAGCAGGCACCGGCGAGACCACCGGAGGCTAAATTAGTCATGAAAAACTTGCCGAACTGCTTCTTGGGATCGTACTTGGGGAACTGCTTCTTAATGTTATCCTTGAAGGCAAAGTTGAAAGCCTGGGTCGGGAAATAACGGATAACATTGGCAAGATTGCCCCTCCAGAACGAGGAGAAGCCTTGTTCTCTCGCGACACGAGTGAAGCAGTTTCCGATACCAGTATACCTGGGGACCTCGCCGGACTTGATGAGCGGGTTAGCATCCTGAGTCTGAAGCAGAAGCTTGACACGCTCGATCGGGGCGACGAGGGTCTTTGAGATACCCCCTGCGGTACCTCCCGCGGCGAGATCAGCGAAGAATTTAGTGGCATTAAACTCTTGCTTCTCGGCGGGGGCGGCGGCAACAACGCGGGGAGCCGAAGGGGCGGAAGCGACGGCGGCCGCGGAACACGAAGTGCATACGCCT